TTTCCAGTAAGACGCAGAGCCACTCAGACTTTAACAATAAATTCATTTTCTTCTTATAGCAATAAAGGAGGGTTCCAGCTCGCCACATCCTCCCTAACACTTGTTATTGTCCATCTTTTTCATTACAGACATCCTAACCAGGACAGATTTTCATTGTTCACAGCTAAAATGACTAGATAATCTCAAAATGAATCAAGTCATAAACACTTCACGGAAAGCCCCCACTGTATAACGCTCCATCCTCCAGGGGGAGGGACTACTTTTGACTTGTGTGAGGAGCAGTAAGAAGTCAACATTGTGTAACCCAAGAAGGCAAGCAGCATTTGCCCATGAGCCCACAGGGAACTGTCCACACTTTTGGAATGGATACTTCCTGAAAATGTCTGGGCCCAACTTTCAAGGGCCACACTTGTAAAGATTCTCTCCAGCTCCTGAGTCCACATATAAGTCAGGTCACAAGTTCCAGGGGACTCATACATCCCAGGAACAACCTTCAGCCAATGACTGTTGGGAGCTGGTAGATAAATATTCCAGCTCCCTCCTCCCTCAGGTGGGACAGTTTTTTTAACTATCTTATTTCTCATTTCTTTATTGAGATATAAGTTACATGCCATAAATCTCACACTTTCAAAGTGTAAAATTTAGTAGTTTTTTGTATATTCACATGGTTGTGCAACCATCACTCCTATCTAATTCCAGAATGTTTTCATCACTCCAAAGGGAAACCGCATACCCATTAGCAGTCACCCCCTAGTCCACCCTCCCTCCAGCCCCCAGCAACCACTAATCTACTCTCTGTCCCTATGCATTTGTCTTTCTGGGAATTTCATATAAATGGGTCATACAATACATGGCCTTTTGTGACTGGCTTCTTTCACTGAACATGTTTTCCAAGATTCATTTACATTGCAGCATAGATCAGTACTTCATTCTTCTTTGTTGCTGGATATTATTATTTATTATTTATGGATATACCACATTTTGTTTATCCATTCATCAGCTGATGGACATTTGGGTTGTTTCCACTTTTGGCTATCATGAATAATGCCGCTATGAACATTCATGTACAAGTTTTTGTGTGGATGTACGTTTTCAGTTCTCTTGGCTATATACCTAGGAGTGGAATTGCTGGGTCATCTATAACTCTGTGTTTTACTTTTTGAGGAACTGGAAAACTGTTTTCCAAAGCAGCTGCACCAAAATTCCCACTAGAAGTGAATGAGAGTTCCAATTCCTCTATATCCTCACTAACACTTGTCATTGTCGATCTTTTTTTTTTATTAGTCATCAGTCCAGATAGGTTGGAGCTCCTGGTAGCCATCATGCCACCATACGGAGCCTGAGAATGAAGCCAACACACAGACAAGCAGACAAGAGAGATGCAGAGAAGCCAAGTCCTGGGGACATCATTGAATTCCTGGATCAATCTATGCCAAACCCTGCCAATCCCCTGACATTTCAGTGTCATGTTCAAAGTATTTCACCTTTTTGCTTAACTCAATTTGAGTTGGTTATTGCTTTTTAAAAATGAATCCAAAAAAAACACAAATCAAAACTACACTAAGATATCACCTTACACCCATTAGAATGACAAAAATAACTAAAACAAATAGTAACAAATGTTGGAGAGGTTGTGGAGAAAAAGGAACCCTCATACACTGCTGGTGGGAATGCAAACTGGTGCAGCCACTATGGAAAACAGTATGGAGATTCCTCAAAAAATTAAAAATAGAACTACCATACGATCCAGCTATCCCACTACCGGGTATCTATCCAAAGAGCTTGAGGTCAGCAATTCCAAAAGTCCCATGCACCCCAATGTTCACTGCAGCATTATTTACAATAGCTAAGATGTGGAAGCAACCTAAGGGCCCAACAACAGATGACTGGATAAAGAAGATGTGGTGTATATATACAATGGAATATACTCAGCCGGAAAAAAGAACAAAATCGTCCCATTTGCAACAACATGGATGGACCTTGAGGGAGTTATGTTAAGTAAAATAAGCCAGATAGAGAAGGACAATCTCTGTATGACTCCACTCATATGAGGAATTCAAACATGTGGACAAAGAGAACAGATTAGTGGCTACCAGGGGAAAGGTGGGGTGGGGGGTGGGCACAAAGGGTGAAGGGGTGCACCTACAACACAACTGACAAACAATAATGTACAACTGAAATTTCACAAGATTGTAACCTATCATTAACTCAATAAAAAATTTTTAAAAAAAAAAGGAATAGAAAAAAAAAAGATTGGCAACAGTTGTTAGCTCAGGTGCCAATCTTTAAAAAAAAAAGAATCCAGAGGTGTAAAACCAAATCACCCATGGGAACGACTTCTCAGACGTGGCCCGGACAGCTGTGGGGACCCTCAGCCCTCCACCTCACCAAAGCACGGCTCCTAGGATGACTCAGCACCTAACTGCTATGTCAAGTCTCTTGTGGGTAGAACATTCTGTTAATTAAGTCACATAATTTGGAAGCCTTTTTTATGTTATAACCTCAAAAACAATATTCCCTAATGTTTTAACCAAGGAATTTGGGGACTCTAACATTTTCACAGTATCTTGCACTTAGTGGACATTCAATTAAAATCTCTAGATCTGATTTTGTACTTCTTAGAATCCAGCATTTTAGAACGGGACGAGATTTTAAAGGTACAGAGTCTGCCCCTCTCGCTTTACAGATGAGGAAACGTTTTCACGGACATGCAAAGGTCATGATGCTAGCTACTGGTGGAGCCAGAGAGAGGACCCAGGTCTCCCAGCTCCCATTCCAATGCTTTTTCACTATATTTCCACCCCAAAGCATCTAGCACAGTACCGAGCACATAGGAAGTGCCCAATTAATGAGGAAATGATTGATCACCCACTGGGCCTGCCACTCAACTCAGGTGGAGGTCTGAGAGCCTCAGCCAAGAGAATTCTCCAAAAGGATGGGATAATCGTTTGAGGAGCCTCCGAGCGGCAGGGTTCTTGAGCTTAGTTGGTCTGCATTAGCCCCCTTAGCGCTGTTTTGGATAGTAGCTCAGATCTCAAGTAAACTGGTTTCTTGCAAGCCAGAGATGATTCCTCCAGGGTGGCTGCCAGCAAAAGCAACCATCCTGGAGGTGACCTGGGTTGAACTGGGGCTGCCCCAAGACACTGTCTTTTATTGCTGCTTTGCAGAGCCAGGAGATTCAAAGAGCTGGGCCTCTTGCTCTGAAATAGTCTTTTGGGAAAAAACCACATGATCACCTTTAAGACTCCGGGTGTTCAGATGGAAAACAAGCTGGCGTACAACACGTCCCACGTTGAAGGATTTGTTGTTTTTAAATCACTCTTTCCTTTGAGCGATAGATCACAACCCACCTAATGAAAGGTCATAGCTCTCAACACTACAGCACCCACCTCAGTAACCCAAAGCTCAGCACCAGACTAGACTTCTGACGTGACAATTAGCCCCACTACAAAAGGCTTCGTGCTTGACTTTTACACATCCCCCCTTGTACCCCATTCCTCATTCTAGAGCTAAAATCACAATAATAGTGCAGACATGGAGGAACAAAGTGGTCTGGTGCAGACTCAGTCATCAAAATTGCCTGGAGCCGAACCCCCAAATCCCTCCTTTTTGTTCAAGGAGTCCTTACCGGAGCTCACAAATGCTCCCCCGTGGCCACCATGGTCCTTCCATGACCCCAGCATGCTCTCTGCCCCCCTCACCCATGCCCAGGGACCACCTACGCTCTATACCCATCACTTCCTTACTACGCTGCTGTCTCCCTTCCCCGTCATCACCCTCCTGATGTCATGTTGTCTTGTCTGAGTGCCCTTCTGTCTGGCTCCAGCAGTCACTGCTCTGCTCTTGGAGCCGCCTGCTCTCTGGGTCCATCAGTTGTGACCAACAGACTCTGTTTCATGAAGCATCTCCCTCTCTTTACAGGAATGTGACGCCAGACACCTGGTGGGTTGGACTGGAAGGTGAGGTGAGTGGCATTGCCAGGGATGCACACCACATTAACCTTGCACACCAATGCCCGTCCAGGTATTGTATGGGTGAATTCTTTGTTCACCAGGTACCCCCAAAAGGCTAACGAGTAGTAGGAATGACCCAATTATGTGAGGATCTTAATCTCTGGTCCAGCTTCAGCCCAACTAGTTAATAATCCATCCATCCATCCATCCATCCATCCATTGTTCGGTGAATATAAATCACTGATAAATATAAACGATGCAGGCAGTTCCAAGAACTGAGGATACAGTTGGTACAAGACAGACAATGCCTCCAGGCCCTTAGAAGCCTATTTTCCAGTGAGGTGAAATAGACAATAAACAAGTGTACAAACAAGACAATTTTAGAGAACAGTAAGTGTTCTTGAATAAATTAAAGCAGCACAGAGACCAAGTGAAGGGCAAGGCAGGACTTTGGATCAGGCTTAGGAAAGGTCTCTCGGGGGAGGCGACATTTAAACAGACGCCTGACCGAGAACAAGGGTCAAGACACGGGAAATGGCTCCAGGCAGGGGACCAGCAGTGCCAAGCCCGCAGGCAGGAGGGAAGCTCGCCCGTTCAGAACCAGGCGTAGTGAGTGAGGGCGGTGGGGTGGGTGAGGCAGGAGAGGGACAGCGCAGGGCACGAGGGGCTGCACGTGCCAGGCGCAGAGCCGGGGTGCGAAGCAGAGGCGTCACACACGGTGCTGGCAGGGCCCCTCTTGCTGTTCGGCGGAGAGCGGGCTGCAGCCGGGGCTGCGGCAGAAGAGCGGAGCGCGGCATGCATTAGGGGACAGTGGAGACGGGAGAGAGGGCAGAGTCACAATATATTGTTAACGCAGATGACAGGATTGCCTTCGGGACATATTCTAACACTTTCACTAGAGCCCTCTATGCCTTGATTTGTAATGGCTTCATCACTTACCTGGAGCAGAACCTAAGACTGCGACTGTCCAAACTTACTGCCCTACGGCTGCTGTAACAAATTACCACCAATTTAGTGTCTTAAAACAACACAAATGTATCATCTCACCGTTCTGGAGGTCAGAAGCCTGAAACGGGTCTCAGGAGGCTGAAATCAAGCGTCGACAGGGCTGCTTTCTGCTTCCTGGCCGTTTCAGGCCTCTAGGGGCTGCCGATGTCCCTCCAGTATCGACGCCAGCCCTCGCATCCCTCCGCCTTCCGCTTCCGCCCTCGCGTCTCCTTCCCTGACTCTCCTGCCTCCCTCCTTATTTACCAGGACCCTGGGCATGACATTGGATCCATTTGGATCATCCCAGATAAGCTCCTCACCTGGTGATCCCTAACTTTTCCACATCTGCGCAGTCCCTTTTGCCACATAAGGCAACATATTCACAGGTTCCGGAGATTAGAAAGTGGCCATCTTGGGGCGGCCATTTGTCTGCCTACCACACTCTGTGCTGCTTTATTTACTGTCACAGTTAACCATGTCTAAAGCTCTGGCATTCTTTCAGCTAGTTGTTCCTTCCTTCCTTCCTTCCTCCCTTCCTTTATTCAACAACCATTTTCTGCGTACCTACTATGTGCTAAGGACTCTGTCAGGTATTGTGAAGAGACAACCATGTATCCAGACTCGACCCTCAAGGAATTTATTGTCAGCTTTCCTGAAGAGCCCCGTTACTGGTCCAGTTAAGGTGATCTGGGCATCATGAAAGGACACTGCAAATGAGACAGGCGCTTCCAACGGCAGTTACCACGTTGCCACCTCTGCTGAGTTTCTACGCTGGGTCATTAAAACACCACCTAAGACTCAGGAAGAAACATCAATAGAGTCACCAAAAATAGAGAGAGGTAACAAGTAAGAGTGGGGACCAAGATTTGACGTCCTGGTTTTCACAAAGTATGAGACTGGCTTTCCCTGGTGGGCGCTGGTCCCACAGTGGCGGCTGGCACACTCCCCACAAGGCCCACTGCCTGTTAGCGCCATGGTCTCTGACCTCTCTCCCCACCTCTCCAAGTGCAGCTTTCTGGAAAACATCTGAGCCATTTCTTGGCAAATGTTCGCACAAACTAGTCTCAGGAAATGCTTGACAAAACACTTGGCCCCCAAAGAGACTTTATCTCTTAGAGATATACACTAAATATTTACAGATGAAATGATGTGTGGGATTTGTTTCTGAACAAAACGCGTGGGAGGAAATGGATGGGTATAGATGAAATAAGCCTGGCCATGAGCTAATAATTGTTGAAGCTGGGCCATAGGAACACGGGGGTTCGTTATACTATCCTGTTTTTTTAAATGTTTAAAATTTTCCATAACAAAAAAACATTAAGGGGAATAAAAGCCCCACATTTCACCTTATGTCACTGAAACAAACTTAACATTCAGACATATTTTACTGTCTAAATAATTGCCTAGATTTAAAAAATAAATAAAGCAGGTGTACAAATATTTAACAAAACGGTCATTTTCTACAGTCACTGGAGTCACAGCAGAGAAGAGAAAGTGCTAGATATCTTGCCTGCTGCTTGTCTTGAAACAATAATGGTCCTGTCCTCCAGGGAAGAAATACATAAAACTCTGGAACATTATTCCAGTAATTGGATTCAAAGGGCTAAAGATATCATCAGGGAAAAGACAGTTTAACTTGATTAAGAGATAATTGTGCTTCTTTATGATGGAGGTGATGAACTGGCTTGACCTGTCTCAGAATTTTCATACATTAATTTCTAGGCAATACATTAGCATTAGAATAGCTTTGGCTCACGAAATTGTGGTTTTCAGCCTCAGTACAAATTGGATAAAAACAACTGTGAAATGGATAGAATTTTCTTTGGAACAGCTTCGCCTGACTTCTCAGCACTCCTGTGAGGCAGTATTATGTAGTGGAAAGACCAAAGGCTTTGGAGCCAAAAAAGTTGACTTGACTTCTATCTCAGTCACCTGCCTATGTGACTTTGTGATTCTCCGAACCTCAGTTTCCTCATCTATAAAATGGGCCTAATGATATCTCCTTTGCATGAATGCTGTGAAGATTATGGATAATGTATGTAAAATGGCTCTCCCATCATAGACACTCAATTAATGGTAGCTTATTCTATTTATAATTGCGTATTCTTCTTTACCCTACTCCATCTCTCCAAATATAGTGCCTAGCACTTAGTAATACTGCAACAAATGTAGGTTGAATTACACTAAGCCTTGAGATGGTAGACAGAATTAGTGGGAGGAAGTATTAAGACTATACCAGAATCCTCTCTTTGCAGGTCACTCATCCTTATAGAGCTTTTCCACCTAATTGCTCAAGCCAGAAAACAAGGACACATTCGTGACATCTTCCACTTCTTCTTCCCGACATCTAATCAACCCCCAAATTCTATCTATTCGAGTTCTCAATTATCACTAGAATCTACCCACTTCCCTCAAATCTTACTCCTACCACCTTAGTTCAAGACTATTTTCTCTTTCACCTGGTCTATAGCACTCAGATCTCCTCACATCTGCTCTTACTCCTCTATAATTCTTTCTCTTTATTATAGCTGGAGGGATTTTTTTTTCCTTTAATTATGGAAAAATTTAAATATTCATAAAAACAGAGAGTATACTAAACTTCCATGTACCCATCACACAGCTTCAACAATGATCAGTGAATGGCCAATTCTATTTGATGCAGACCCCCACCCACTTTCCCCAATGTTCTCAGATTATTTGAAGCAAATTCCAGATGTCATAGCTTTTTGAAGGGATCTTTTCATGCATTCAGAATAAAATTCTAAATCCTTCACATGGCTTACCATGATCCCTGTTGACTTCTCCAACTACAGATCACAATTTGCTATTCCTCCTCCCCAGACCCAGTCAAACCAGCCTCCTCTCAGTTCCTTCAGCATTTTATGTTGTCACCTTATGGTCCTAAGGCCTTCGGGCTGGGCTATTTTCAGAGCCCAGAAAGCCTGTCCTTTATCCTCTTTATCTGCTTTGCTCAGCTTCAGCTACTCCTGCTTCTGCTATCACCCTGCGCATCACTTCTCAAGAGGCCCCTAGGCTAAGGCTGGTGACCCCCTGTCTGCTTCCTCAGTAGCCTGTGCTTCTCTTCCAATTATACATCATAATTTTATAAGTAGTCATGCAAAGTTGTCTCCCCTGTTAAAATTAAACTCTGTGGGGATAAGAACTGTGTGTCTTATTTCCTGCTGAGGCACCCAGCCCACAGTTCAACACCTTCCTAATAGGAGGCACTTAATAAATATTTGTTGAATGAGGTCCCCAAGAAAGGTAAACACAAAAGCCACATCCATTTCATGCTATAAATTGCTCATAGACCAGTGTCCTAAACCTTTTATAACCACAAGAACAACGCTCAGAACTTTAAGTGTATTTTGTTATATTCAATATGACTTTATAAAAAATTATGAGCTGCATTATGCTAGACACTGCATTTGAGGACTTAAAGATGAATAATACATGGATCCCACCCTCAAAAAACTGAGTCTACTGGAAAACACAGTCATTTATTATCTGAAAATTGGTAATTTCTCATGTTTTATACATAGGAACCAGAATATTTAATTAGCCAGAGAATCTGTAACGTGTCAAACAACTAAGAGTAAACAGAGTTTGCTGTAAAAACAACAGCTAACATTTACTGGGTCCTTGCTTTGGGCCAGGTATGGTACAAAGCATCTTGCAGACACGACTTCATCTAATCCTTACAACTGCCTTTGAGATATGCCTTATTATTCTTATTTTGCAGATTAAAAAAAAAAAAAACTACCAAGGCAATAAAAACAGGTATCCATAAGTCACCCAGGGTCTGAAACTCCAGCATCCCCCATCCTCTCTGCTGGTGCTAACAAGTATTCTTTGAGTACTGCTGCAAGAAAAATAAAATAAAGGACACCTTCCAATTCATCAGTGCTTTCCACTTGGTGTCCTGGTTTCAGAGCTATGTGGGCACATTTTCACAGGAAAACAGCAGCTGCTGAAAAATCTTTTATGATAAGGCCAGCTTGCTGTGGGCCCAAGGCACTAACCATTGAGTTGGACTTTGTACCAAATCTCTCTATAGAGAAATATAAACTAGAATCTCTCAAGTTGTGAAGCTACTGCCTGCCATGAACACAGCCTGTCTTTTCAGCTAGTTTGAAAGCTCTGCACAGAATTCTTCATTGCACACTGTATCTTGTCTCCTTACCTCCTACAGATGGCTTCTGATCAAAAAGAAATTTATTATATTTTAAAAGGGAGAAATTGTTGGGGTGAATTACATGTGTGGACCTTGAACCATGAAAATAGGTTTTGTGTTAATTATACATATCTTGGAGTTTGTTTTTAATTTTTCACTACGGGAAATTTCAATCATATACAAAAGTAGACCAAATAGCACAATAAACCCAGTATACCCATCACCCTGCTTCAACAATGATCAACTCATAGCCAATCTGTTTCATTTATATTGCCATCAACTTCTAACCCTCTTGTTTTATTTTGAAGCAGACATGTTTGGGAATATTTTGAATGCTATATTCTGTGGGTAAAATATAGAATGTATGGAATCAATAGAATAAATACACATGACTTGGTCAGCAAGATACTCGGGAAAACAGGAACAAGAAAGAGGAATAGGCTGTGTGGTTTTGACCACAGAAAAGATGGGAGGAGTGGCACGGATTATTGGCGGCACTTGCACAGGCAGACAATTACGCACCATGTGAGGAAAGTTTTGATTGTGGACAAGGGAATGTGGTGGGTCTGCCTGTCAAGTATCTTGAACATACCACCTCTGCCTCTTGTTCTTCCCCCCTTGGCATGTTCACCGTGAGTGTGATTAAGTCCCTTGTTTGTGGATCTGCACTGCCTCCCCGTCCTGCCTCAGCCATCGCTGCATGAAAAGAAACCCTAGGGGGATTTCGTCAAGATGGCGCTGTGAGCAGACATTGAACTCACCTCCTCCCACGAACACAACCAGGTTACAACAATTTTGGGAAGAATCACCCTGGATTGAAAAATGAAAACTGGATAAAAAGAACCCCCACGACAAGGGACAGTCCTGACTAAAGCAGAAGAGGCAGTAACTTCGCAGGAGAGGAAAAAAACCACCTTTGGGAGCAGTGGAGCTTCTCAGCTGGCCAGGCGGGAGCCACCCTAAGGTACGCAGCCCTCCCTGGAGGAGTGAGGTCCGGAGTGGGGACAATACTGCTATAACCATCCTTCGGACTCAGCCCAACGAGAGGGTGGTCTTACTGTCTGGCTTTGCTGGCTATTAACTGCAGCGAGGACACCCCCAGAAAAGCTATCAGCCCGAAAGCCAAAAAGATCCGGGTCTTAAAGGGCCCACGCACAAACTCACTCATTGCAGCAACCTAAAATCACCAGAGAGAGGGCTAACTGTCCTTTGGTGAAATAAGACTCACCTGGTGGGCTCTGGGGGCATCTTGGTGAGAGGAGGATCCTCTCCGGAGACTGAGACATTGGTGGGTGCCGTTGTTCTGAGTTCGTCCAGGCGTGCTGATACGGACACTGATGGGGGCCATTGAGGTGC